CAGTGGTGATCCCCAAGGCCACACCATCTCGTTGTCTGTAAAACGTTTGATTGAATAATGGTAAGAAATTATCACTTATTAGTTTGAACAGGCAAGTCAGAAGACAAACATTGCGAGAGGAATTCCTTTCGTATACTCTCATCGGTCGCGTACGTATAACATCGAACAGAATAGACAAATGAAGCGAATTAAGAAATCTATAGTTAGAATTAACCATGTGTGTGTGCATGTGTGGATGTGTACAGTGTGTGTGATGCACGTGATTGGTTACAGCCAGGGAAGGCCGAGGGTAAAGGTCATACGCTTTTGGACGCACAGTAAGGGTTTGTTGTGAGCGATGGATAATGCCTCGAGTATCCTTAGTCGGTGTTTGTCTCGATGACGTAACAAAACCAAGAACGCGTTCGTAAGGTCTACCCTATGGCCACTTTCAACCAAGTGACGTGCGATGGCTGAAGTCGGTCTGCGTGATGCGGTCACAGTGTGTGTTGTGGGCTGAGTCATAGATTCACGCACATACTTGGGGATGTGTTCGGCCATTCTAGTTCGCAGCGATCGATCGGTTCTACCAATGTATGCTTCGTTGCAGCTGCAGCAGAAGGCGTAAATGCAATGCACGCAGGTGTCCAACGGAAATTCCGACCGACAACACTAGGGATTCCCTCCTTATGTCCCCTCCTACCCATCCCACCGACGCCCTCCAACACCTTCTTTCCTCTCTCCGCCTCATGATGAGCGAATTTTCAAATGCATTTATTGCAACTGCCTCAGCCTCTCCAATAAGGTTCTAGAATTAAGGCAGCTTGCAGTAGACAATAACCAAGACTTTTTACAGACAGAAACCTGGCTCACGGCGGACTTCGCCCATGGCAAAGTAACCATTCCAGGCTATTCCCTTATTAGAAAAGACTATCAGCGGAAGAATAGGCAAGGTCATAATTTATTGTAAGCACCATCTGCCCCCTCCAAGTTTCAAAAACACTGATCCTATCCCTCTCATAGACAGCCTGTGCATCTATTTTCAGATCTCTAAGACGATCAACTTCTTGATGTGCCTAGTCTATATCCCACCACAATCCAGTCTACTAGAGAATCAGCTCCTGATAGACCAGCTTAGGTCTGTCATAGAAAGTTACCAACATTCTCACCTGAACTGGATGACCTGACGCGGGTTTTGAATTTCGGAGCAAGGAAGATCAATTAAATTAGGAGAGAATAATCTGAAGAGATTCGGACGTAACACGGAATATCGCTAGATAAAACTGACGGAGCAGTCAAGGAGATCAAACAAAGGACCAGACAGGGAGTCATTCCGACAACACAACCTACGCGGTATCGTTCTCAATCTTTTTAACTGTG